ATGTGGATTTAGTCCACAGCAGACATCTAAGTTCCATACTCCATGGGCTCGCTACGAATAGCAGCGGCGACAGACCTTGCGTCCGCTTACAGTACAGGTTGTACAGTAGTAGTTGGTCTCGTCATAATACACGATAAAAGCACCGTTCCACTCATGCTTCAGCAACGCTTCACCAAATACCCTCCTCTTCTCGATATTTACAGCATTATTGCAGGTCTCGGGCTCTACGCGAACCTATCACAGGGAACATACTTAGTACAGTACGTAGATGGTAAAAGTGATAGCATAATAACTTGAAGGCGTACCTGCTTAACAGTGTAAAGCTTATCGCAAAGCTTCTTACTGATCAACGAAGTGCTGATGTGCACCCCGATGTCGAACGCAAGCATTTCCTGTATCTGCACGAGTGTGTACTGGCAGTTGTCTTCCAGGTAGCCCACGAGAGCTTCCTCCACTTCTGGAGTACACTTCGTGCACGCCGCCCGCGCGCCGCCTCTCTTCTTGACATCAGCGGCTTGGCACTGGACGATGTTGCGGGCAGTAGTGGGAGGGATGCCGTTGCAGTCGGCAACCAGCACCCAGTAACGCCCTTCTCGGTGTGCATCGAGCACACGCGTGCGGGCCGCAAGCCCATTCTTCGGCTCTTGGGGCATGTTGCCGGCGGAGACAGTCTGTTACTGACCCGTGATTTGAGTTTGCTCTGCACTAAATCCACATTGCTCTAAATACTAATTTCAGAAATTATTTTCCGATTTTTGGATGTTACTTAAGTTACTTCACACCGTTTTCCTTTACACTGCTGCCAACTTGGATTGGCAAAGGTGTAGAGAGTTGCCGAACTACCACACAACTAGGGTTTCCTCGGTGCTTCCAGGCATTGGGGGGATTAAAAGTTTTCATTGTGTTAATGGGCCAAAGCCAGGAGGTGCTTTGGTTGATAGGCAAGGTGCCGAACGGCAGCCCTAAGGGATGGTGGGAGGGTAGAAAATTCTGTCTATCGAGCTGGAGACGTGACGCTGAGGCTTGTTGGGGAGTGTCGGTAACGGCGGTGCGCCAGGATGTCGACTCGGGGCGGCGCGCTCAGCGACGCAAAACGCAGAATGAGCGGGCTTGTTGTTCATGGTGCTTGAATGTCTTATCCTACAGCGGTTCCTGTCGGCTGACGGCGTGTCGGGTTTCGTCGTGCCTTCCTTCATTTGGAAAAATAATTATCCACTTGTTCACTTTGTTGCACCGTGGACTAATTTCACACTTCGCGAAGGCTGGGATAGGTACATGGCAACGTCGGTTAAATTCATGAAAGTCACTTTTTAGATATTGCGTAAGGAGCAACAGGTCAAACCAATTCGGCTAAGGTACCTAGATAACGCAACCCGAACGAGCCATGGGCATATCCTGCGCCTGCTTCGCAGCCGCAGCATATACCCGGCCATTAGTACGAAGCACGTGCGATTGTCAAATGAAAAACGAACTCTCGCCTCCATGAAGAACACTCGTCAGTCAATACCAACCTAGACTGAGGTTAAAACCGGTTACCGTTAATTAAACATTATATTACTGTAAAGTATCAACGCATAAAATACATTCCGGATAGGTGCTGAGGAGAGTTCCGAATGATCCCTTGATGCGGCGCGACTTGAGATGTCTCGAACCGTCGAGGGATTCCTCTCACTTTTCAGTTCGTGCAGTGGCCCCCACCCTCCGCGGGCTCATACTCGCTGCTGTGGCACCGAGCGCTGCTGTCAAGAACGCATACACGCGTTTACCAATCTACCGATCTAGCCAATCTATCATGCAACCTATCGACGCGGCGTGCTCGATTGCTGCGGCGGCCCCCACCCCCCGCGGGCTCATACACGCCGCCGTGGCACCGAGCACGCTGCTTATCAGCTCATCAATCTTACGATTGACTTTTGTGTGTATATTGTATTTCCTAGTGACGCCATGGTATCGTGCAACGGTGGCGCGCTAGCTGACGATTCGTTCACGCGGGGCACCGCGATCCCGAAGCTATGCCCAAATGCATCGAAGTGTTAGGGCGAATACCATGCTGGATACCGCGCGGCGTTGATTGAATATGCGGGGCACCGCGATACCAGAGCTATGTTCCATTTGTTGAAGTTTGAAGGTGGTTGTTCAGACACCACCAACGCCTAACGATTAAGTTACTTTGAGCAATTCGTACACGACCAGGTAGGTGGCGTGTAGTACGACGACACCACTAGATCTTAATAATCGAGCACGAATAGGCCTTTGTAAGGTAATACACCTGCGTAAACGTTCCATTAACCTGCAAGCCCATCGTTTCTTACATGAGCGATCGGATACATACGTTCTTGTGAGTGCTCTCTAACGTATTGCATCATAAAAGTCACACAAATAAGTTAAGAGGCCATTTAAGCCTCCATCCTGCGATACTTTGTAATAAAACTTGTGTAAATCAGTAGATTTGTGTTTTGGATGCAAAATTTTAGATTTATAAGACCCTTACACTTGAAATTTGTATTGGTTCAGTACCTACTTTTTCTGTGGACCACATATTTCAAGTATCGAATTAATACATAGTGAGCTTCAATTTCGTCTCGCATTTACACTAGCTGAGCACCTCGTTCACTGCGCTTCCTCGGTGCTAATTTGGGGCGACACTAAATATTGTGCTCTACACAAATTTCGCGATGCCCCCCCCAGAGCCGATCGAAACCAGTTCATACAAGAAAGCTTAACGGCCTGATACGCTGAAAAACCTTTTAATTCGTCGCCAAACTTCATTTTAGTTGATCTGTAGTGCTAGGAGTAAGCGAGTGTATCGAGGTTGGTATATCAACACTTCACACGCAGACTTCATGCGCAGACCTCCACCAATGCGGGATTTTCCGAATTTTTCCTATATACTGGCGATCACTGGGAGAAATGTTGAGGGTTCTTGTGGAGAAGTGCTGAATAAGAATTGTTCTCCGAGAAAGGCGGCAGGGCTGATCGACTGGAGGTATGGGAGATCGGCGATCGAGAGACTGGCAGCAAGGATCTACGGATCAGAAGGAGTCCTTCGGGAGATCTCAAGTGGCCCGATGACGGCGGCGCGTAAGGCAGGACAAGTGGCAAGCCGGATTGTGGGTGATCGTGCCCGAACCGCGGCGTGATTTGGGGCCGACCCAAGACAGAACCCGCGGATCTGGGATGGCCGAGGACAGAAGGTGATAGCTCGGCGGCACATGGCAACCGGCACAAGTCATCGATCGGGAGTGGATCGCCGATCGCCGATCGAGGTCGATCGTGGATCACCGATCGAGATCGATCGCGGATCGCCGATCGGGGTCGATCATGGATCGGGAGCCGATCGTGGGTCGCCGATCGGGGCCGATCGGGGATCGACCACGATGGGATGCACATGGAGGACGAAGTCGGGACATGAATCCAGTGGTTGTTTAGTTGTAGGATGGTAGATAAGATGGTAACGGTAGAGAGACACCAGCTAAACATAAATCAGAGCAGAATTTGCACCGAAGAGCACAAGTCCCCTCAAGTCACCAAGTCCCAGGAACTACAGTGGCCTCGGCAGTGTCGACACTTTGGGTAGTGAACTAGCGGTACGGTTAAGACTGGACTAATACATTGGCCAGCTTGACCTACTCTAGTGATCTATCTTTTGTGTGCAAGTCCTCGATCGACCGGGTATTAGTACTTGGCCGGCGATCGTTTCTCCTCTCGATCAACCTCGATCCCGCTATAGGAAGCGGCAAGCAACTCAGGAAAGGAAGGAACACACCCGGAAAGGCAACCACAGGCCTTGGATCAACTCCAGGCCGACTGATCGCAGCGAATAGCCCTCGATCGGAGCGTATACTCGGACGCAGAGCGAAGACTACCGCGCGGCTCCACAAACTATCCCCGCGTCACGCCAAGACACTCGATCTTCACCAAGTGCTGCGTCTTCGGAGCCCCGAGAGAGCAGATCCAGCCCGCCGACGGGTACACAAGGTGAGAACAAGTTCAGCAGATCACGGATCGTTGGGGGACCCCCTCCGTTAGTCGGTGTCTGGGCGCTGGTGGGAAGCTTGATCAGGCCTTAACCAGATTTTGGCCGATCCCGCTACACCACAATGGTGCGCTTGCCCGGATCTCTTGGGGACTCCGGATTTCACCGTGAGTCCGTAGAAGATGCGCAAGTGAAGAAAGAACCAGGGGAAGAGGCGTCGTCGGATATCGGATCGACGAAGACGCTGCTGAACAAAACGAGATCCGCGGATCGACAGAGTGCTCGGAGGACTTCTGTCGACGGAATCGAGGGCGATCTGGAGACAGATCTAGAAGACAAACCTCAACATCCTCCCCAGGTCCCTTCGGGGACCCCGGTGGATCTTGGTGAGAACCGAGATTCACTAACAAAACAAACTAAGGCGGGATCAGACCGATACGCGTTCGCTGACTCGCCGATCAGGCTC